AGTCCACGTACAGAACCCATCATGTGGACAAAAACCTTCCTTGGTGTTCTTAGAAATACGTTTATTGGAAAGCAACCCAAAAAACATAGGGCCGGCTAAGCATTTCCGAAGCATAACTACCAGCTAATGTTAGATCAGATTAATATGCGCTTGTCCGGTGATGGTAAACAATTACGCATGAGACAATGGAAACTGTTTTGGTTTATTGGATAATCTGAGCTATAATACTTAAAGGAAGAATTCGGGCCTGGGATGCGTGCTATGCTAATCTATCCAATCTGCCATGAATTGAATAAACTCGGAAAGATTCCTGAGTAAAAAAACAGAACTTTTAGAAGGAATAACTAAAAGACAAATTGAGTGTGCCTTACTTCAGTAATTCGTTTATCAGTTTATCTCAATTCCCCCTTTTAATGCTCATCGAAAGCATTGTATGTTTTAATCACAGAAACTGTTTTATGTCACTAATTTAGCAGGGCACTTAAAAAAATATTTCGGATTTTACGGCTCATCTGTCGGTTGTCTGATACCAAACAAATGTTAAACAATCTCTCGGGCGGCAAATGACCCTTGCTGAAAAGGAAAGTAACCGTCTTTGGCATCGCAAATGAGGAATGCTAGTCTACTGCAACAGGTTAACATTTATTGTTTGCCCAGATCTTCAAAAACCTTCGAAGTGACGTCAAGAGTTAAGAAATTGGCAACAAATAGGAAAATATTTATAGCAGCTGCAACAGCTGAATAACAATATGACTTATTCAGAAGTCCAAACTCCAGGGAAGAATAACATATTTGGGGCAAAATCAAAGACTCAAGATACTACCCACACCAACTACATTGAATGATTATCTTACGGCAGTTACAAATGATTGTGTCACTTATTCAAATTATGTAATCTAGAAAGTAGAATAGGTTTTTACTTCAAATGTAAGTACTGTTACGTCACAGTAACATTGGTTCCTTCTTTTATGGTCTTTTTATGGAATAAATCTAAAAGCACGATAGGCTTATTATTACCACAACCAGATTAAAATGGTCTATCTACCTGTAATCCTCGTAGTCAGATAAACGGTTAATGAAATAAAAACGTAATTTTTCGGTTTTACTTAAAACGTCAAATTTGCGTGTTGATTCTGATAAAGGCGTGCTATTTTTATGCACGTCAATACCAAATTTTAAAAGCGCGCACATGCAGTGGTTTATATTCTGTGATTCCGATCAGTACATAGAGAGTGACACTTCCTCGCGCACTTTTGAATGTGTGATTCCTTTAAATGGTGCCAATATTGGCTCACATACTTAGTTTAGTGTTCCTAAAATTCCACTGGCGTGTGCATAAGTAAGCAACGGGATAGCCGTTTAATATATTTTGGCTTTGTGCTTGTAACAAAATAATAAATTATTTAAGGTCTTTATGCAACTTCCGTGACCAATGAGTTCATCAGGCTGTTTAAAAACGTTTTTATTAAAAAAAATGTCAGGTTTCTTCAACCCCTATAGTGAACAACGTTACGCGAATGCAGAGTAAATGCAACACGGGAAGGTAAACAGGATGTTTGCCTTCTGTCTGGCAGTATTAATTTGCTACCGTGTTAGGGCTTCAGGGTGCAGATTTTGTACTCTTACATTGGTTTTTTGCGCAAATACTGCTAAATGCAGTACAGAGGTACAATGTACAGAGGTGCGAATTTTGATAAGCACACACCAGCGGTGTGTAGACAGTTAAAATCGCACAGGCAGTTGCTTCCGCCCAGCCCACACGCACGCAAAATCAAAGAGTTTAGGCGGGTTCATGGGCAGTGCTCAAAAACCGGAAAATGCCAACGGCTAACGGCCCATCAGTAGATCTGCCATCTTTTATGCGTGCCCACGCCCTGTGGGTGAAAAGCGGGTGCGCTGCTCAGATGCCGGGTCACGTGATGCATGAGGAGGCGGGCCACTTAACTCGATCAACCCCTTACGTCAACTAGACGATCGGTTCAGACAACGCACTTTTGTATTGAAGAGCGGAAAAAGGAGAGGCTTAATTAAGTTTTCTGGGAATACAGTCCGCTATGAGAATAACATTCTAAAAATGTTTTGCGCAGTTAAAGTTTCATAATTTCTTCAAAGAAATGTTCACACTTAGTCTAGTTGCAAATTTGGAAGTGTAACAAAACCTCCTTCTCACGTGTTCCAGAAAACAGTTTTCGGGGATACAAATTTAACCAAGACTTTTCCGCTCTCTGTTTCCATAATTGGCATTTATCGGGCAAACGTCCCTGAAATTCCGGTTTGGAAAAAAAACGCAAACTATTTTATTTAGTTCGGGTCTCAGTACAAGCACTCTGAAGAAATGGGTCCTTTGGCCAGTAATAGCATGCTCCTTTATCGCTTTTACCCATATTCCTGATCATTCTATTTAATGATTGTCAGATTTGAACACTTCTTTGACATAATTGTCCTTCCATCCCAAAAGAAAACCAGTTTTATTCATTGATATTCTTGGTACAAACGTACCCTTCTGCGTGCCGATTCGATAATTTCTAAAGTCATTAATGAGCCTTTCTAGTTTCTTTCCGTTCTCCTTCTCCTCCGGCTGCTTTACACTGAACAGCTACTGGAACAGTCTTCGCTCGCTGGTGAATCGCCTACTAAAGTTTGTAAAGTCGGTTGCCAGCCTCCTGCTCCTTCTCTTCCTCTTCATCGTCATCTGCTCCCTCCTAGGCATGCAGTGGTTGGGGGGGACCTTCAATTTCCCCACCAAGGACAAGCCACGGAGTCACGTTGACTGTATCGCCCAGTCCATGATTACAGTGTTTCAGGTGAGTCAGCTTGAAGTTGCAGTGAGGGGAAAACCGCGAATCTTGACCGTTTAGTGCGATTTTTTTTAATTGCGCGGGAGTATTGCTGAGTAAATTGGTCTGGTTGCAGGGCAGTAGTCAGATTCCTGTTATGCCCCGGGAGGTTTGTGGTCATCCCGCGATGCACTACTGGTGAACCGGGACGATCGCTCTGTCGACC